ATTTCCTTTTCCCTTCGGTTGGCTCTAAACAACATAAAGAGGGCTAACTCTTTGTGTAATCTTTGAAGGCAAGTGACAATCCATTTCCTTACATCAGTGTCTCCCACTAAATGGTTATGCCCAGAGGGGACTTCTTAGGGCAGAAAAACTTTGCATATCAGAACTGAAGCACCAGCCCCCTAAACATTAAACGCTACCTCGAGTGTGTTATGCAGATTGGTCATTCTGCATACTCTTCTCTCTGCATATTGCAGAGGTGCTTCTTGGCCTCCTAGCTAGCTCAGCTCACATTATTCACTTAATTCCCACCATTCTCACCATCACTCATCCTCGAGCCTCTACCTTCTTCACAAATTAATAAATTCTGGATTGGGCCCTGGGTCGAGGCCTTTGTTCCATGAACCCTCATCTGGACCAGACGCAGGAGCCCTTGGCTGCCCATAACTGTAAATGTGCCTCATTGTCTTTATTTTCTCTAAGGGTTGCACTGGAGGTGATAGATTGGAAGTAACTTGCCAGAATCCCAATGTTTCCATAGGATTACAAATACAAACTTTCCAGACTGTGAGGAGGATGGGAAAAGAGCCTCAGCAACAGTGTTTAGAAACAACAAATCACATATATCATCATGACTAAGTTGCCTTGGAAAGTGATGAGTTTGATGAAGTCCAAAGGACTGAAGGTTGATTCCCTAAGCCACTCCCACCCATTTGAGTTTTCCTTGATAAGACAGAAGAGAATAATGTACTTAGAATAGAAAATAAAAGTCTTCTACTTATTAAATGCAGAAGATCTAGTAGATGGAAGATCGGAAACCCAACTCAAACCTTTTGAACACATTCTAACACCCCTTCCTATACACATTTTGTGAAGCACTTGACTAGTAGTCATGGTACAGTGGTCCTGAATCAACAAGTGTTTCTTCAGGCATACAAAGGCAAGTAAGGGATTCAAGATATACAGGGCGTACAAGATGTTGGAGGATGCAAGTCTAGATTTAATTTTCCACGTTAACTTCAATCTCTTCACATACTTTATCTCTGTAATAACTTTGAAACCAGAGTCTGCATACTGGGCTATATTCCTACTCAATCCGCCTGATGATGTAGGGTCTCAATAAGTCACTACATTGCCTGAAATGGGCTCAAACTTGAGTTTTGCTTCAGCTTAACAGAATGCTGGGTTTACAACCATGCATGACCACAACCAGTTACACTTGTGTATACCTTAAATCAATGATCAGTGCTACTCAGCTTTAAACTTCCTAGCGTTTAAAATTATTACCCAAATTTCCCACTCTTCCCATCATTTCCATCATGATTTGCTTAGAATTTCATCTTTTACTTTACAAAATCTGGCTTTATATGGCACTTACTATTACATTATTATCCCCAAATTATTGTATTTAAGAAATTGTGCAACTCAGACTAGATGTTCAATAAAGGCTTAGTAATTGCTCAATTTTTCCAGCTATTTGCCATAATTAAAATAACACTCATAAACGTTTGATGGGACACATCTACAATTACAAGAGGTTTTGTGGTCCTCACATACATGATTCCATAGTGAGAACTAAGCTAAGTAGGTGACTGTCTTGCCAACTTTACACTTCTGTATTGTTCTGAAAAATTTATAAAGCTTTTGTAAATGTTCCAAGGAAAGTCACATTGTCGTTTGTTGCTTTAACTGAAATATGTACTGAAAAAATGTAAGCCACAGTTGGTCTTTTGACTATATATTATAGAAATCACTCAAAAAGATTCTGTAAGGCTAGAAGTATAGCTCAGTGGTAGAGCTCTTGCCTAGCAAGCATGAGGCCCTAGGTTTGATCCCCAACACTAAAGAAAAAAGAAAAACTTGTGTAATTGTTCTTTCAATTACTATGTAATTCACATTGGCTTTGAACTCATTATGTAGCCCAGGCTGGCCTTGAAACCACAGCAAACCTCCTGCCTCAGCCTCCCAACAGCTCTTTCTTCTTTGGATTTCAAGAAAAATCCCAACTAAAATACTTTGAATTACAAAGAAATAAAAAGTATTTTTTTTCCTTTCTTTCTTCCTTCCTTCCTTTTTTCTTTCTTTCTTTCTTTGCTGCTGAGCTAAATCCCTGGCCCAAAAAGTAGTATTTTTCAAAGTGAATTAAAACATTACCATGAAATGTAACAAGTGATTTGAATTTGTTTTCAAGATACACACAAAATTGCAAATGTGTCAAATGCTAAGCACTGACATATTAAAACTTAATTAAGAAGTTCATTAAAACTGTAATTAAAGATTTATCACCTTTATTAATAATTCATCTATGCAGAATAGCTTCTCCTTGAAGCAATCCTTGCAAACGTGCAATTTGAGGATACTACAGAACTGACAAGATACTAATTTTTAAAAATGAATAAAGAGGAATTAATATATAGTTAAGTGAGAAATTTTGTGGCATTCTTCCAGTCATTTACCAGTAGAAAAATTGGAAAACCATTCTCTTGAAATAACAGGGAATTTGTACAACACACCTTATGGCACAGAACAGTCAGCCATGAACAGATTTTTCTTTCTTTTTTTTTTTTTTTTTAAAGAGAAAGAAACAAAAAAAAAAATGGAGAAAAAGGGTAGGAATACAGTTACAGAAAAATAAATAGTAAGAAATCACCAGTTGATAAGTTACATATTGTCATCTTAGAAATAATTGTTCAGGTTACAAAATTAAAATATGTAAAGTGACATTCAAATAGTGATGCTGCCAACAGTTCTGCTCAGTGATCCAACAAAAACTTAATATGGTTATCAGTCCTCCACACTTGTTTTTTATTTTAAAGAGGGTAAGATTAAACATATCAAAACAGAACAAAACAGTTCAAAAAGAAACAACCCTAACCCTAATCCTAATTTATGTACCCTTTTGTTGTCTTCTAGCCTTTGAATTGTTTCTTTCTGGTTCCTTGTGATTTTTAAGAGTTCTTTTCTTTCATGATCATATATCATAAATCTCTCTTCAAGTTTCAAAAGGCTAACTTTAGTTCCTGTCAAGGCATTTTGCCAGTTTTCAATGGAGTTTTTAGTTTCCTGGTAATCTCTTTGGATCTGTTTCATGTATTCTAGGTTATGTTTAAATTCTTCATCAGAGGTTTCTCTTTCTTTTCTGATATCCTCCATTCTTCCATCTGTGTTTTCTTGGGAGGAGTTTATCATTTAATTAATCTCTTTATATCTTGCCTCACTTGGATCAGAAGTACAGTTTTAAATTCATCTATGAGGTCATGAAGGTATTTCTTTATATCTGCTGATGCTGTATCTAGTATTGGATGGTTACTGTGCTGGTTCTCTTCTGTATTTACTTCTCCTGGGATTATTTTCCCAGGTTTGGCAGCTGGAGATTTTTTTTTTCTGTCATGTTTTTGGTTTCTTTCAGACTGGTGTGTCCTGGGGGCCTCTGGCCCTCTCTGTATTGCTTAAGGTCTTTCTGAAGTGTGCTGACTGGAGTTTTTGCTGCCCTCCCCAATTTGCTGTTATCTGAGGTACAAGCAGGGATGCAGGGACAATGCAGACTAGCCTCCAGCCTCTGTGCCAGTCAATCTGCAAGTTAGGCTGTACCTTGTGGACATCACAGAGTCATGACAATTTTGTGTCTGCTTATTGGGTCCCAACCAGAGGTGTAGTTTAGCCCCAGCAGACCCTGACAGTTCTCTCCGCACCAGGGGCGGCTGACTGATATCACGACGGTGCAGGGCTCTGCCCCAAATCCAAGATGTCTTCCACCAGACCTCTGCACCAGGGGCAACTATCTGATGTCACTGTGGCGCCGGGGTCTGCCCAACACCAAGAAGTCCTCTACCAGTCCTCTCTGTGTCACTGATGCTGCCAGGGTGCTGGGCTCTGACCAATTCCAAGATGTCCTCCAGCCAGCGACAGCAGCCATGGGATCCAGTCCCTACTACTCACCAGGAATCAATGCAGATCTTCCTCTTGGGTCCACTGCACACTGTGCCGTGTGTCTTCACTGTGTTCCTAGCACAGGATGGATTGGTCAGAAAACTGCACGGTGTCCGGCTTCAGAGCCCAGGAGCTTCTCGCAGTCTCCTCTGGCACGGCCAGCTTGCTTTGGCTGCTTCATGGGGCCCCAGGTCTCAATTTTCAGCAGTCACCGAGAGCCAATATTGCTTGGATCCACTGCTCACTGTGCCGTGTCCTCCCGTTAAGGGCCTGGGATTCGCTGACTCGTTATCGGCAGCCCCAGTCTCAGTGTGACCTTGGATGTCTGGGCGCACCTAGTATAGCACGAAACGGGGCTCAGTGAGCATGTCGGGCTTCAGCTCTCCACCTGCACTTTTCCTTCCTCTTCCTAGTTTTATTTTTCCCTTTGGTAAGCCTTGGTTAATAAGAATCATTATTCATTCATCTGGCCCTCTCCATGTTGTCATATTCTAGCATCTGATCTGATTTCTCTGCAGACTCTGCACTCAGCCCCCTAACAAGCTGCCATTTTTTTCTCCAGCATGAACAGATTTTTCTTCAAAGACACATGCTTTATCTTAAAAATCTGTGTAAGTCTACTCTGTGTTAGACTCATGGTTGCTAAATGTTTTAAAAGATTTCTATCCAAAGAGAAGGTGTCACCCCAAAACAAATTTATCCTGCAACTACCAGTACCTAGCTCACATCTCAATTTGAAAACCACAACATTAGATCTGTCTCATCCATCCACCTTACATCATACTTGCTGTAAAAACTAGTGAAATGCAAAATTTGTTCCAGGTGCATGTTTATGCATATGAAATATGGAAGATCCTGAAAATTACTGTTAGTCAGGAGTGGTGGTGTAGGTCTCCATCCTAGCACTCAAGGGGCTATGGTAGGAAGATGGATATGAGTTCAAGGCCAGCATGGACTACATAAATAAGTACAAGGCCAGAATGAACTACACAGTGAGGCCCTATCTCAAAAACAAACAACAACAAACCAAAAAAGAAAAAAAAAAAAAAAAAAAAAAACTCAACAAACTTAAGTTAATATAAGCCTTTTATTTTTACACTATGATCTTAGAATCTTTCCTTTTATCTTAAACTTGGAAAATTTTATTCAATTGAATAAATTTATAAAAAGTGTTCCTATATGACACTAAAAGCATTCTGCATGCTTTATTTCCATTGTTTATTTAATGAATAAAATAATTGTAATGATTCTTTTAATTAACTTCATCAAATACACTGTCTACAATGTGTCTAGGTCAAAATGCTGATCGCACAGTAATCCATGTGCAGACTCTGCCAAACTATTCCAACTTCAATATAATATGATGTTGTTCAGAATACAAGCTTCATGTTATGGAAAAGCAGCAACTTTCTTTTCCTCTGGGTGAGTCTGTGCACTCGGTGAAGGCCTTTGTTAAAACTCTTCTTCTGCTTGCCTGCTGTGGGACTGCTTGAGCTGCTGCAGGCGTTCAATGGTTTCAGAAATTGTACGCTCTCCATGGACTTTATTGTCCCTTGTACGGATATTAACAGTGCCGCTGGTCTTCTCTTTTTCACCAACAACTAAGACAGAAAGCAAAAAGCTTTGTGAGAATCTAAAGACATGGAAAGATTCACCTTTCACATCTAAAGAGAAATAATCCCAGCATGTGTGAACCATCATAGAGTGTCAGACACATTAACATACACGACATACATTTCTGAGCAACTGACTTCAAACATTGATTTATTAAAAAACACTGTGCAGTACATACAACTACTGTGCTGAAGGAACCACCTAATTCACAATGCACTTAAATCTAAGTCTCAAGATTTCAGCATACTTTTTCTTCTGGGTTTGGAAAATAGATTTTCCTTCTTACCTAGGATAAAGTTATACTGTGCTAACTGTGCATTTCTGATCTTCTTGTTTAGTGTACAGCCTGGATCCAGGTCAACGTCTACCATGAATTTAGCATCATGGAATTGTTGCCGTACCTATTAAACAGACAAAGAAGTAAGATTTGGATAATCATGCAAATAATTAAAATTAAATGCTTTTGAGTACACATAAACATGAAATATTAATTTGTGTCTTGGGTCCACACTTAAAATCAAAAATATATTTTACTTTTGAGAGATAATTGCTTTAGAAGATCCTTAAAAATCAGAATTCAATCAAATTAATCAGCTCACTTGAACAACACATTACAAAGGGAAAGAAATCCTTTTATAAATAAAGTCTTTTGTAAGGTTGCCAGGAAACAAATTAGCAGCCTCCACATAAGACTACCACACACAGTAACAGGTTGTCTAAATACCATAGTTTGCTTATTTTCAACTGGTTAATGTTTATCCATTTCTTAAAGACAGTGAGTATCTACGAAAAATTTATTTTGATGCTCTAGAATGAAGATTGATACTACAGCACTGTTCAATAATTAACTTAATTACCTGTAATTCTTAGTATGCATTTACTATACTAAACAGAACAGTGTTCCAATCTTTAAGGTGTGAATAAATGGTTGTCATGGCTATTTACACATTTGTTAGTAAGTTAATTTTGCAAGAAGGCAGACATTCTTGATACTAAACTCAAAGTTGAAAACCTGAAAAATTTTGCATTAAAAATGAAGCAAAATTACTTCATAGTGTCATAGTATAGCTTAAACTTTTTTACATTTATATTATATCATACTGCAGTACTTCGTATTTGCTGGTTTAGTTTTTAAAAATAATAAGATACACAAGTATATATAAAACATTATCTGCATGTGTTCTAATCATAGAATCATTTTGAAAAGTAGTAATATAATCCCATCAGATTTATCACAGGTGAAAAATACATAATACTGTCATGTTACAAGCAGCTGATTTACCAAGAATAAACAGCTATGAGATCCAAAAAATATAACAGACATTAATAGGAAGGTCATATTTAAGGATTACCTTTTGGGCATATTCATCACATGTTGGTCCTACTGGAACTACCATTACCTGGCAAGGAGACAGCCAGAAAGGCCTTAAAAAGAAAATAAAAATATTTGATGTGGATTTGGGTCCATACATTAGTCAAATACAGCACACTTCTCAGTCTGATTTGGCATACTTCTTTAGCATGTTTTCCTGAAACAAGGATTACTTTCAGAACTTGTAACTTTGTTTTTATAAACTATCCACTAAGATTAAAGGGAGGAGAACAAGGAGAAGAAAACTAATACTAATTAAGGAAAATCTGTACCTAAGATTTGTGTTGCCAAGCAAGTAGCAAAGCAAACTGATGACAGAGATGAGGCCTCATACTTCAGTACATCACATAGTAAACACCACACACTGCTGTCAGAGGGGTTAGCAAACTTAAACCACTGCACATACTGGTAAAGATTTTATTATTTATTCTTCATGGGGAGTAAGCATACCTATCCTCTCCTATAAATCTCATTTTCCTCAAAAAAAAGTTGTCCATACCATCACATATAATAAAATCAAATAAAACACAACAGAACAGAACCAATCAAAACAGAAGAACAGAAGCATGCTAAGACTTCAAAGCAAGATGATAAGAAATCAGCACTAGGGGCTGGGGATTTAGCGCAGCGGCATAAGCGCCTGCCTTGCAAGCAGGCAGTCGTGAATCCGATCCCTGGTACTGATAAAAAGGAAAAAAAGACCAAAAAAAAGAAATCAGCACTGGCTACTATAATGTCTCATCTTCTTCAAAACAGCTGTTCATACCATATAATAAAATCTTTTAGTCAGTTTACATTAATTAGACAAAAATGAGAGAGGGAGGAAGGGGGAGGGAGGAGGAGGGGGGAGGAGGGGGAGAGAGAGAGAGAGAGAGAGAGAGAGAGAGAGAAAGAGAGAGAAATTACCATTTGCCCCCATAGTTTTCAGTGAGGATAGCAATCATTCTTTCCACTGATCCCAAGATGGCTCGATGAATCATCACTGGCCTTTTCTTATCATCACCATCATGGCTATAAAGAAAAAAGGATTTGTTTTGCCTTGTTATATGTGTTTCCACTTACATATTCCTAGAGAAGCATATTCAGAGGAAATACCAGTAACTTACCTCACAAAAGTCAGATTAAACCTTATCGGCAACTGAAAATCCAGCTGGATTGTCGCACACTGGTGATAGCGACCAATTGCATCTTTTATTTGTATGTCAACCTAGGAAGCAAAGCCTGGGCTATCATAAGATGCTGATAGAGCTGCCCTCACCTACTGGGTGATCGCTGATATCCCCCCACTCCCTAATTACTTTAACATAATCTCTTCTCACCCACAAATGGAAAATCACATCACCCAGAAATAGTTTGTCACTGACCTTTGGACCATAGAAAGCTCCATCGCCAGGATTTAACTCCCACTTTTGACCAAATTCATTCAGGCTATTTTCAAGTTGCTAAGAATAAAGGAAAATGATTTGTATTTTTACTTATCTGCAACTTTCCTTCTTTTAATCTACTCTGAGATTAAAGATAGTATTATTAATTTCATGGATCACTATTCTCTGCTTTATAATACTGTCTACCTAAATGTACTTTCAAACATACCTCTTTTCAAGCTTGAAATTTGGTAACTAAAAAAAAAAAAAAACTCAAAAAACATTTAACCAATTCTAAAATACTGTAATACTTAGCTTACTCTAACAGCAACTAATTCTCTAATTTTCTTAAGCAGAACAAGACGATTTCAATCAAACAATATCCACATTAAAACCACCACTTACTTTCTCAGCTTGGTTCCATATTTCAATATCACCAAGGAATTTTTCTGGGCGAGTAGAAAGGTTCAGTTTAAAAGAAAATCCAAATACATTATATACTGTATGGAGAAAGTTCAAACAGCCTTTTATCTCCTCTTCAATCTTAAGAGAAAACACAGAAAAGAAACAGTGGTTGCTTTCACTTGCTTTTTGATTTTTGTGGGACTGGGGATTAGACTCAGGGCTTTGCACTAAGCTATATCCCCAGCCCTTTTCATTTTTGAGACAGTGTCAGTAAGTCACTAAGTTGCCCAAGCTGAGCTCAAACTTGCAATCCTTTGGCCGCCTCAGCCTCTCAAGCGCAGACTGCCGGCGTGCACCACCACACCCAGCTTCCCTTATTTCATGTTTCTTTCCAAGTATTTTAATCCGAAGGGTCTCATACCTGCTCCATGGCACAGAATATATGTGCGTCATCCTGCTGGAATCTTCGTACCCGGGTGAGTCCTGTCAGTGCTCCTGACAGCTCATTCCTATGCAATACTCCAAAATCGGCTAACCGAAGAGGTAACTCTCGCCAGGATCTTGGCCGATGATCAAACATAAGGCTGAAGAAAAAAAAAATGTGAAGTTCACTGATATTTCATTTCACAGGAGAGCTATGAGGCACTCTAATGTAGAGTGTTTGCCTATAGTATGAGGAAACTTAGGTTAAATCCTCAGCACCAAAAAGTAAAACTCACAACAAAACCTTTTCTACTACATATAACCATATGAAAGGCTATAAAAAAAATTATGGCTAACTAGCTATACAAGCAACATTTGTCAAATCCTGGGCAAATGGTAACACAATCAACTATAACTAAAAGAGAATAAAATATGTATTCCATGTAAACCTAGAGTTGAAGTCTTCTATTCAGTACTTCCACTAATCACTAATAACAGGAATGCCTTTAAGATTAAAAAAAATGAAAAAAGCCAAGAAAGGTGGTGCATGCCTACCTAATCCCAGTACTCTACCAGGCAGAGGTAGGAGGACTGCTAGAATGAGCCCAGTGTGGGCAACTTTTTATCCAAAATGTAAAACGACTTTAAAAACAGCCGGGGACATACTTCAGTGTAAAGGCCTTGGATTCAATTCTCAGAACCATTAAAAAGAACACTAATCATATACATGATTTGAAAAATAAAACTTGGATTTGGTCTGTTATCAGACCCCAAAGTGCTTTAGTTTTCTTGTTAGGCAGCAGCTGCTTCAGAACCCAGGAAAACTAAGAATAAATTCAGGCAATCCAAACACTGACATACATAACCCAGTTTCTTCACGAAGTTTCTTTATACTTCCTCTGCCCCGTGGGCCTCTTTATCAAAAGCTGTGAACACTGAGCTACCAATATCCAAGTGTATGTCCAAGTCTTCTCTGAACTGACTCTTCACCCATCTTTGAAAAGCAGAAAGTAGAGCGGCCTCAAGGATATTAACTAATTAGCTATGGGGCTGTGGAAATAACGTCTTTCTTTCTTTCGAGATGGTTTTCACTATTTGCCAAGGCTGGCCTTGAACTCAAGATTCTCCCATCTCAATCTCCAAACTACTAGTTCGAATCACAGGCATGTCATACCACTTCTTTTCATTTAAAAAAATAAATAAAAAAAGAAGAGCCTAGAGAATTCACCACACGCCACAATCTCCTTGCTTTACATTCGCCTTCTTCACTGCTCTAACCCAAGTACCACTCCAGAAGGTGTACAGATCTGGGGATCTAACTGGTCATGGAAGCTATTATAATACAACAGTAATGATATTAATAGTCTTCTGATTACATAATTTGTTTTTTAACAAAATTCTTTCACAAGAGATAAGGTAATCCAGGACTACTTGTAGCATATGAAAATCTTTAAGAGAAACTCTAAGCTGCTGATACCAGTGTCCCGGGCAGTTCATGGGCTTAAGAGCAAAAAGCTCCTTCTCCACCTCAAAGGAAAACATGTTTTCGCTGTAGTGCTGCCAGTGCCCAGAGGTCATCCAGAGTTTGCTGTTGTACATGTTTGGAGTGACTACCTCCTGGAATCCTCTCTTCCTATATTCACTCTGTTAGGGAACAAACAAGACAGACATACAGACAAATCAATGCTTATCCTTCTAGGGGAAGCTAAAATTTAAAGACTAATTTTATACTTCCTAGTGAAGTTCAAGATACACAAATGCCACAATCCAGAAATTCTAACTGTGGTATATATCAAAGAAGAAACTCTTATGCATGAATATAAGAGTGCTTATTAAATGAGGCTACGGTAGCATGGTCAGTAATATGGGAAAGTTAAAATTTGTATCAGTGTGAATCAATAAAAAACACACGCACATTGTAGTAGGTGTGTAATAAACTAATATGTAACAAGTTAAAATAAAGTGGATATGTACATATCCAGCAAAGATCACAACTAGTGCAGACTGACGCCTAAATGCATAAATAATAAGGGTACATATATGAGGTAGGTGTAAATGAACAAAAAGGGTCCATAGCAACTTGGAAACACAGAGGTTTCTCTAGGAAAAAAGGGGGAATGTATCAAAAAGAGGTTTCCTAAGTTTGTTTTTTTCTTTAATTGCACATGTAGACTTAATATCATAAATAATATGAAGTATATACAGCCCCATGTAAACATGTTAAACTGTGTGGTGAGTATGGATATAGACTATACTACTTTCTATATACAGTATATATATGCTTTAAATATTTTGTAATTTAAAAAGAAACAAGAAAACTTGCTTTCTCAAGGAAAATACAAACTTTTTGGTCAAACACAGCATAAATTTCCTACGTATATAAAGGGCTGCAGGTTCCATTTCAAGATCACCAGGTTCTCTATATATTTCCATGTATATGACAAAGTCATATATTAGGAATAAATGATTTTAGCAATTTATAAGACTCCAAATTTCCACTTTATCGTTTTACATCTTCTCAAATACAATTAATTACCTTACCTTTTATCACACCTTTTTAATCAAATTATCTTATATTCTAAATCTTCAAAAGAAAATAAAAAATATAGTTTACCCTAATGAATTCCATGAGTGTATTATAAATATAGGCCCCCTTCGGCAGGAAGAAGCAACTTCCAGGGCTGAGTTCATGGAAGAAATATAATTCTTGGTCCTGGGCAAAAGAAGATCAAAAGATTATATATAAAAAATCACTGACATTAGCTTCAGTACTCCTGAGTTCAAATAATGGTTATAAGCTCCACTAGTTTAACTAGGGCCAATTCTAAACAAAAAGAAACCATCCAGTGTTTCTAGAGTACAAGTCAATGGTATAACTGCAGATGATTAAAACAGGACAAGTCCATTTCTTGCCTATTAACAGTCCTCAATCCAGTCAGGTTTATCCAACATGGAACTCAGTTCAACAGTTTTCATACTTTTAATTCCTCAAAAGAATCACAGTAAAAGTTTCTCCTACATTCTTGCCCCACCCAAAACCCTGGGAAAGAAATCCACCAATAGATGCCACCATCCTCAGTGCTGACACCCAGTATCAGGACAGAACATTTTTATCAAATCTAATTTCCATCTTAGAGGACATTCAGAATAGGTGAAGAAAATGATACAATCCATCAGTGACTTGTATCTAGTTATGAATCAAGTTGATTAGTCTTTCTGGGACTCAATTCCATGTCTTTATAGTGAGACCCAGACAGTTTCCAAAGTTGAGTTCTTTAGCTCTACAAAATGCTGCTCTAGTTCTCTCTCAGTAAAAGTACTAGTTAAAAAGATTATGTGAACAATCCCAAGAATTTATAGCTCATGCAGCACATGACATCACAGGTACCAGAAATCTAGAGTATCTCTTCCAAATAAAATTTCCAGTTAAGATTTCAATCGTTAGATTTTAAATGAAATTAAAGCAATCTAGACACATCACTGTTCTTTAACATACCCTCCCAATTTTCCTATGATCTCGGTTTTTAGCTTCTTCTTGGAACTTCTCCCATTCTTTCAACATTTTGGGATCTGGAAATGAAATGCCATAAATTCTCTGGAGCGTCTCCATATCTGCTTTGCCTTCCCAGTATGTGGAAGAATTCTGAAAACAAGGATCAGCCATGACACAACATTCAAATCCATAAAAATCTCATTTAGGAGATGCTGTTTCTGATGAGCACTTTATATATTAAATTCATCCTACTCAGTATTAACCTGCCTCCTCTCCCCTTCCTATCTTTCCTTTACTATTACTACTACTACCACCACCACTACTACTGCTGCTAGGCTTTATAAGGCAGGATCTTGCTATGTAACCCAGCCTGGTCTCAAATTCAACAGTCCTCCTGTCTTCGCCTGCCAAGTGCTGTGATTATAAATATGAGCCACTACATTAAGCACATTAATCTTTTTGATAAGAAAAATCTGTAAGATGCACACATCTGCTGTCCTGCATTGCTCTGGAGACTAGAGGAATTGGACTCACTCTGCAACACAAGTTAGCTGTCTGTTTCCCTCAACACTTGCTCAGACCACACTTTCACAAACACTGACTACAACAGCATCTCACACAAAGTAAGCAAAAATGGAAATGAATCTAAAAAAAGTCTTGAAATGATCTATTTTCATTATTTAAAGTGCAATCTAATAATCACCATATTTATGAGCTAGTATAAAATTGACAGGTTCAGTTGTATTAGGAACTTGGGTAATTTAGGAACACATATGGCAAAGTATATAGTCCCACAGTAAGTTTCAAAACTTTTAGAGCCACGACAGCACATAACTGCATGACACTGTGAATTCCCCACCTTCTCTCATGTGCTGACTCCAGTGATAAAGTGACAACAAAAGTACATTACATATATAAAATACATATAAGATATCACAGAAAAAAATCATCTTAAATATGCAATGGCAGATAATAGAAACCAATGCAAGTTTAAACACACACACATGTACTTGTATGAAACAAACATATTTTATATAGTCTTAAAGTTACATTGCTTACTTTGTGTATTTTTAAAGATTTAATTTTGCCAGTGTGTCTGACATGAGGACCTCGGCAGAGATCTATCAAGGGGCCACACCTAAAGATAAAATGAAAAGAATTTTAACAAAAACCAATTGACATATATATAACAGTTGCATTTAATGACATTTGATATTCTCACCTATAGACTGTTGTGGTTGGGGTGTTTACTTTTTCATTCAATATCCGGCATTTAAATTTGTTGTACTAAAAAATAGGGAAAATACTATATAAAAATGATTTAAAGTACATTTACTAGAATATAGTGTATATATATGCAAATATGCCAATATTTCATGTCATAAAAAAACTGTTTCAAGTGATATTAACAACTGAAACTGTAGATCATTAGTTATGGTTCAACTTACCTTAAACATTTCCAGGAGAGTTTCTTTCTTAACTTCCAATCTTTCAAAAGCTTGCTTTTCTTTCATAATTTTCTTACATAAAGTCTCCAAAGAAGAGAAATCATTGCTGGACACACCTCTGAATGACAAGAAAACATAAACCTCTCTGTGTTCTACTTTAATCACACTACAGCTTTGAAAGACATTTCTTTAGAATACTTATTAATTATACCCTTTCATTATAGATTAAAAATTTAAAATAAACATTTGTCATAAAGTTTAGAATTTTCAGTGGCTTCTACTTGGTCATTGTGGTATCTTGTACACTAATACACTCTGCCCCTAACTCTATTAGCAGGTTTAAAGAAGAGGGTAAGATCAATGTGCTGTAGGGCTCTTCCTACATCAGTCTAGAACTGGAACTCATCAAAGCCTCTATTACTGCAAGTAAACTGCAATACTTCAAGTTTTAACAATTGTAATACTTGGTGACTATAAAGAAATGAACTTTGTATCTTTCTTCTTCCTTTGCTGAGAACTCTAAAAACTTAGAGACCCACAATCATTCAGATTCATTTCTCTTTAGTTACCCTTCTTCAAGATACATGTCGTAATAGAATCCATTTTCTATTGGTGGACCATAACATAAACATCCACCATAGACTCTCTCCATGGCTTCACCCATGATGTGAGCACTTGAGTGCCAATAAACCTGAAAATATAAAGAGAAACAGATGGTTTCAGTTTCAGCATATAAAGTTGTGAGTTAATATAGCTGTTAAGAGACAGATAAAATTTAATATAAATAAATCCAATATATAAAAATCCAAATTTAAAAATCTATCAATTATGAAATGGTCGTTAATCATACAAAATGTAGTTTGTTTCCTGAAAATGACTGCTACTCAGCATGTTTGTTTTACTAAATAAATAGCTCCTTGTCCCAGATGCTATGATCTGGTTGTTAACTGGTTATAGAACATGACTTACAAATTACATGTATTTTATCTTACTGGTCCAAAACAAACAAGAGGACTGCACAACACAGTAAAAAACAAGGACAAATATATGGACACTGAAATCAAACTGCAGTCTGTGGTTTTATGATGGTCATTCAGATGGGTCAGAATATATTCAAAGACATTTTTTCCACTTATATGGCACAGGTCATATCCTTACCCCAAATTCAATGAACATTGAACAGAAACTTACTGCTTGAGCTTCCTCATTCTCAAATTTAAGAAGTTCTAAGGTACAATCTTCCTCCAGAGGCCGGTCCAGGTCCCAAACAATTTTGTTCACTTTAGCAACGACAGTGTTATCAGCCAGGCCTTGACTTGAAAAAATATACACATTAACATGAAAACACAAAAATCAAAATAATAATCTCTTTTCATGCAAAACCTAACTTGAAAAGAAAACAAACAATCCCACCATATTTACCATATATTAGTACTCTATACATTTTTATATAGCTGTGTCTATGTTTCCGGAAGAAAATGGAAAAAACAACCAAAAAAAAAAAAAAAATGTACCCAAGAATGTAATTTGACTAGGGCCAGGAATTTAGCTCAGCAGCATAAGTGTGTGCTTGGCAAATGCCAAGTTGTGAGTTCCATCCCCAAGACAAAAAAAAAAGGAATGCAACTGGACGATCTTGAAAATTAGGAATACTATTATTTTACAATAGATGATATTTGATTACTTAGGTTTAGCAACATGGAATTGCTGATAACCATTTCTGGCAATTTATATGGTGACTTCATGTGGTTTAACTCAGTATGTAATTATAATAATTTAAACATAAATATAACAATACAATGAGAGAATTATGGTTTCTATGGAACCAAACTGAGTATTTGGTAAAGTAAGATAAAAGCAAGTCATGAAAAACATTGTCAATTTAGGTATGGATTAAACAACTTCATTAATATCTGGAAGGATTCTGCACTCAAGACTGCTTCTCAAGTGTGTTAAGATAATGTAAGAGCTATTATCAGTAACTGTCCTCAAAAACTTGGTCTTGTGTGTGTGTATGTATGTATGTGTGTGTGTGTGTGTGTGTGTGTGTGTATATAAAATTAATGAATAAACATGTATTTATGTATTTTAAAGTTAACATGTAAATTGTACATGACATGATGGTGAGCCTATTCTGTAAAGAGATACAAGGTCTTTACTGCCTATTTTTCGTAGATTTCTTCACTTAAAATTACACTTATAGGTTTTAGGCTACACAAAAATAGGCCATGACCATAGCCTATTGACGAATGATTAAGATATATACACATACATACATATACACACATATGAATTTATGCTTCTCCAACTTTATGATGTTCTGATAAACTGACCAATTCCATCAAAACAAATTAAGAAAACTTTTGCTCTATTATCTAGTATGGATCTTTCTCAGTTACTTCAAATAATTTCTTCCCAAACAACAACAACAAAATAATAATTTCTTCCCACCCCAATAAATGAGTTTTTAAAAAATTATCCATACATATTCTTGCTAAGTTGCCCAGTCTGTCGTCACTTGCAATTCTCCTGCCTCAGCCTCCCAGAGTGCTAGATTTACAGGTGTGTGCCTCCATACCTGGAGAACCCAGTTAAATTTTAGGATCAGGGATGGTTCTTTGGATTTCCATAGCTTATTTTATTCCCACATAAGACAATTTACCTTCATTTTTAATTTCAAAACTGAGACATTTAATTGAAAACTGATGAAACATCATCTACTTGACTTTGTAGCATTTATGAATAAGGCAGAAGGACTAACAATATGAATTCCTTTATTAAGAGAGGAAAGGTGAACCCTTTCAGAAATTAACTTTCGTTCCTAACTATAAAGCTCCATATCACTTTGATTTCTAAAAATCTCAAACAAAATGAAAATATTAAATGCATCATAAAAATATTATGCAGTTAAAACCAGAAATGATAATAAAAGAAAGTTTAGTTTAGTTATAAACCAAAGAAAGTCAAGATAGACGTGGCTTATACCTAATTCCACAAGCAATTTGATAGGGAGTAGTTCTCCAGGATTCCGCATCGACCTGTTTCCCATCAGGCAGGGTGACTTTAATTGGTTTGCTATCTTTTTCTGCCCTTTCTGCCAAAATGGAATCATGTTCTGCTTTAAGTTTATTATACATCTCAAGTCGTGTGTTAATATATTCTGGCCAAGGATTCAACTGCAAGACCACAAATGAGGAAATAATCAGTAAGTACTCATTGCATTTAAAAAAGAAAGAAATAAAAACAGACAACCTGAAAATATATTACTGATTCAACACAAGAATCATATGCAAAAATCACCAGAAATTACGTTAATCTGATTCTAAGTTGAGTGTAAAGAATTAAATGTCCTTTTCTTGTACTGTTTATTTAAAACTTAAAAAGCATAAATAACATAAACATCTGCATTGCTAACATCATTAAATTGACAACTATTATCATCTTGTAAACTACATTACTTGTAACAAGTAAGTTTTTCTATTCTAAGATACCTTTTTAACTGTTTTTTTCCCCTAATTAAATGATCTTCTAAGTATATCTGTAAGCAATACTGCAAATAAAAATTGGCTTTTCTATTTTGTTTCAGTCTTTTTCAGATGATAATAATATGCAGCTGGTCAGCCTGTAGGTCCACTCACCATCAATTATAAGTTCATTTGACTTAGGGGATTCCTTTCAAAGAATTTATGAAATTCAAAGAAGTTGTAATGAGCTTGTTTCTTGGAATATTTAATGAAAAAGTGCAATACAACTGATACAGTCTATACAGTTGATAAAATTAAATGAGATGTTTTATATAAAGCAGCCACAGAAGATCCCAAAACTATGGGAAAGAAAAAGATGACCAAAAATAACTCCCCCTACTGCCTGAGACGCTAGTCTAGTAGTGGTGAACCTATGATATGCATGCTATTTTTCTTTTAAAACAAAAGATGTTAATATATGAGTTAAATTCTGTTTGAGTCCTCTAAATTGTAGCCTTTTCTACCTATTCAAAAGCTATTTCCCAAGCTATCACACAACAGTACATAGAATTATACTTAAAGTATAAAAATGAAATTTGAAAACATCAATTTTACTGTTTACACAGAAACCTTAAAATTCTCTATCAATAATTTCTCCCACAGTTGTAGGGGACATAATGAATGAGGGATCACAGAGCTACCTGTAAGTAAATGGAAACAATAAAATTAGTAACTACATTGTTTATAAAAAAAAGCTTTTCAGAGTCAGTTTATTGCACTACTTTTAAAAAGCTCATCCTTTGTACTTCTACACTCTGGCAATTTTCTAAAGAGTCTCCAATAAAACAACTACAATGACCAAAGCAAAAAGTAAAGCATAATTTATAACACCTCAAGTTCAAAAACAGTAGAAAGACAAGCTTAACTGCATCCTAAAACAAAATACACAGGAACTGGATGGATTCTGGGCTGGCTTTTGAAATTCTATATCCTTTCAGTGAGAGTTCAAGGAACTGAAGCATTTTCTCTAGACCTGAAAGACCTCAAGTGGATTTGGCTTGATAAATCTAAATGAAAATGAGAAGGAGGACAAGGAACTGGACTTTCTCTGATTTCTGTTATATTCAGTATAAGCTCAAATATTAAGTCTCCATCCCTTAATATTTGACCTAATGAGTTATTAAAGTCTTTCTGTCTAATGTTTGTTCTCTGATTTTTAGTATCTATCCCCACCATCAGATCACCTTATTAGTTGTTTTCTTTTTGCAGTAACACCAGAATCTTTCTCTCCTCTTAGACTAACCTTTCCTAACTCTTCGAAGTCCCTGAGTTTTCTCTCTAATGTCGTCTCACAATCTTATGTAAACCCTTAAAATCCTTCAACACAAAATACGTCTAGGAGAGCTCTGTGCTGTCGACCTTTAACGACAGCTTCTGTGTGCTGACAACTTTTACCTCTGCTCGGCCTCCATCTCCAGAGCCCTCCTTGTTCTTCTTGCCTCCTTCCTTTTGCTTCTCCTTGCCAGCATCTACCTAAGTAAGCAATAAAGAAATGAAGGCTTTTTATTTTAATCTAACTGGACAGCCCATCATGATATTCCCAAGCAAATTTTAGAATGTTATTTTAGCATCTGCTAAAAAAACCCCAAAATAACAAAATTGACATTAAAAGACTGGAAAATTTTACCACTGGCAAAGTCAACTTAACAACTTCCAGTAAAGACAAGCCCTAAAAACATAGACAGGCATTACTTAACAGTGTTTTAATTCCTCACATTTTATTTATTTTAACAATTCCCGTGACTGTCACTTTAAGTGACCTGTACTAAACACATAGCCACAAAAAGCATGCAATTAACTCAGTAAGAGTATTTCCAGAAACACAATCACATCTCTATTCCACAAGTACTACCAAAAGACTGTGTTCATAGTACTTTGTTAAACCCTATAAAAGAAACAAATATAAAACCCAAACAAAATCTCTCCAAGGAAACTAAGGCCTAAGTGTATGATAAACTCCTGCAAGAGAAAAATTGTACCAACAGTATGATTCAATGCCAAACAACAAGTTGCTATAGGGACAAAGGGTAATGTCCTTCAATTAGTTGGTTTTTAAGAAAGGCAATGTATCTGAAGTGTGCACAGCTTAACATCAGAATGTTAAAAACAGAAGAGCCAGGTGTGTACAACACCTGGAATCCCAGCACTAGGGAAGCTGAGGCAAGAGGACAGAGTTTGAGCCAAAAATGGAAGGAAGTAATAGATGAAGGAAGTAAGCAGGCAAGCAAACTAGGAGGAAACGATTCAAGTTAAGACAGACTAGGACTCACAGCACTCAAAGTTATCAGAACACACAGGCTTTAATTAGAAGCAAGTAAAGTCATAGCAAGTTTTATAGTAAGTCCTGACCTGGGTAGTAAAGGAGGAATTTTATCTCATTTTGTGAATGTCTGATCGTTAACAATTTTATTGACATAACCCATCTAAATAAAGCATATGACTCAACAGTTTTCAATACATTTTCAGTTGTGCAACCATTACCAAAAGCAGTTTTATAGCATCATATCTCCTCCCTGAAGAGTCCCATCCACTAGTGTCCCTCCCTGCTCTCTCTTCTCCCCTCTCCCACTTCTTTTCTCTCCTCTTCCTCTTCCCTTACCTCCCCTCTGCTTGCTCTTCTTTCCTCTTTTGAGGCAGCTGTGCTATGCACTCCTGGCCTGGCCTCAAACTCATGATCTTCCTGCCTCAGCCTCCCAAGTGTAAGGACTTCAGGCACCACCATTTCCAGCTACTAAACTACTTTTTTTTTTTTTCTAGCTCTACGGATTTGGGTATTCTGGACACTGCATACAAATAGAATCGTACACTTTGTGCTTAGCACAATGACATCCAGATCACCATGTTGTAAATGTCTCAGTACTTTTTTAATTGCATATTACACATACTTCACTTTATACTGGTTTTGGTATTACTGACCAAACCCAGAGCCTCAAGAAAGTGCTCTAACAAGAAGCTACATCCTCACCTTCATTGCCTATCTTTCCATTCACTGATGAACAAACTAGTTGCTATCTTTTAAAACTTATAAAACATGATACCGTGGATGGGAGTGCTCAGTGCTAGAGCACTTGCCTAGAATGCTTGAGACCCTGGGTTCAATCTCTATCACAAACAAAGGAAACATAACTTACTTGTATAATTTAAAAATAAACTAAGCTAAAAAAATATGTCTTAATATTCAATTTTATACTGAGCTAAAAATATCTCCTCTACTGGAACCTGGATTTACTACAGTTAAGTTCTTTTCAGACTTAACAGATGAAAAACCAATCACTTAATATATATAACCAGTCACTTAATTACAAGTGTACCTGCACAGGTTTAAAAAGAAAGAGAATGAGTTTCAACACAAAAGTTGGGATAGAGAGCTGAACTATGAACAGAATCTACAGAATCACCTTCCTTAAGCACATTCAGGAATTGCTAGAGAAATGTCAGCAGGGCATAGCCTAAACAAATGCATGATTCATCCATGGGCAGATGATGGGAGCAGGCTTAGGAGTACTGGCAACAGATTATGCTGAAGAAAATTATTTATTGTTCGTATACCTGTTTCCAACAACAGAAGTCAGTTCATAACAGTTATTGTTAAGACTGATGGGTTAATGCACATAATACATTATACATAATACTGCATTATAAAACAGTGTCAGTCTCATATACACATTAGATATTGTGTAGGTATTCAGAAGGGAACTGAGGGGTCAGCTCAGTGGTAAAGTGAAAGAAAAATCATGTGTTTGTTATCTAAACATTGCTTACAATTAATGACATACGTGCAGGCTGGAAATAAACTCCAAAAGAAAATAAAATAAGATAAAAAGAATAATACAGCAGAATATTTATGGACATGGAAAAGTGTTTACTACGTCCTATTAAGCTAAAGAAGTAAAATACAAAATAGTAAGTACCTTTTCTCAGTGAAAAGGTCTATGCATAACCACTATTTATTACAAATTAAATTTACATAGTTTAGAGTGTGTATGTATTTGCATACAGATTTTCCACACTCAATCCCTTGAGGGATCAACTCAACCTATATATTTATTGCGAGACTTGACCTGTGGGAGTAATGAAGATCTCACAGCTTCTCACCTGGACAGCTGCAATCGCTTTCAATGCAACTCCACCTCAATGCCGACTTGGCCTTTACAAACATAATCGACATTTTGCATTTTTTAAAAATCTTTCATATGAAGAATACAAATACCCTCCTAATCGCCGTTTCTCCTCCTTCAATCTTTTCTATTTCAAATTACGTCAGGGACACAACTCAGTCTGTGTGCCTTTTCTCAGCCTTCTCTACCCTCACCTGGAAGCCCTGCCTCATTTACCTAGGGGTTCACTCTTTGAAACTCAATCCAAGGGAAACCTACTGAGTAGAATTAAGGTGCTACTTCTGCAATCCCCTACAAAAGATCACTATGACTGTTTTCCTGTTGCCAGAAATTCAAGTCCTATTCATCTTGATACCTGCACTGTCCAGCTCAGTGTGTGAACAGAATGAATACTTGGACATTTATTCATCGTAAAAACACTTGACTGGAAAGTGTGAAAATGACCTGGGTGATATTCCTAAAAGCTGGATGACATCAAGGGCAAAGTTTACGGGTGAAATGATCTGCGTGTACAAATGTGACACTACGCCTGGATGGAACTTCCATAAATTGTCAGATGGGGTCATCCGGTCAATTACACACACGGTGGGCAAGTTAGGTCAGACCCTGGGAACTCAGTATCGCCTTCCTAAAGTGCAGCTCTTCACCGCCACAAGATTTTGGGATTAAATACGATTCTGTCATGTTCTTCCAGCATAAAGTGGGCGGAAAACACGAGTTTGGGAGTTCTGAAATCTAGATTCCAATTCTCGCTGGGCTTCTAATTAGACTTGTTACTCTGGGCAAGCCACTCCACCAGGGTCCTGGTTTCTCCATTTGCACGAGGAAGGTCCTGCAGAAGAGCGGCAAAGTCCTACGTTGCTTTATAAAAGCAGAATTCCTGCTCCAGGGCGCCTCTAATTAGTTATGGAGCCCCAAAATATCCCCGACACACACGCACACACACGCCGCGCGCGCCCCACTGCCTGTCTCTCCACCTCCGGAGGCTCGGTCCTGCACCGAGGAAAGCTCCAGTCCAGCCTCCGAGCCTCACTAAGCCTACTCACCGGCTTCTCTTCACCTCCCATCTTCTCTACAGGGCCGCTGGCCTTCTCAGACATCAAAGAACTACCAAAAGACAGCAAGGACTGTCGGAGCAGGAGCGAAAGCCCGGACCCTGCGGACACGGCGCATGAGCCACGCATGCCCGGCGGAACCAGCTGATGCAATCGGAAGGCGCCCGAATCCCGCCCCTAACACGGGACCGGCTGAGAGCCAATTGAAAACTGGCGGAAGCGGCCTCCCCTCGCTAGACTGTGGAAAAATCTTTAAGTGACAGCGCTTCTAGGAAACCATTGCCTCCTTGAGAAACGCCTGATTGAAGCAAAAGCAGTACCTGCGACCCGAGCAGGACTGGACATTTTGCAACCTGAAATAACACGACGCGCCTCCGCTTTTCTTCCCCGTGACTTTTCGTTGCCTACCGAGGACCTTTCGGGCCACCGTAGCGATTGAGAGGGCTGGATCTTCGCTTCCGGGAAGGCCTTGGCGCGCTGGATTTATCCCGGAGCTGGGCGCCTGTGGCTTCCGAGCCGGTCCTCGGGAAGTGACAGCCCGCTTCTGCCTTTCCCTGGCAGTTTTAGGCTTCCCAAAATGCGAGCCTTGGTGAGTGGGAGACGAGGGCCTTTCCTCAAACATTGTCTAATGTGTGAAGAGCACGCGGAAACACGACAGAGCTTTTACTTAAGGAAATAAGCCGACTCCACGGATTCTCACGTAAAAGTGTCGCGATCCAGCCTTTTTCTATATATAGCCTTTTTGTATATATTTTACTAGCCAAATTAAAACAATCGCTTATTTGCAACCAGAAGTGCAAAGAGCGCACTTTCATTTAGGAATACTATCGCCATGTCTAACAGAATTTTATTTCTGAGCATCAGTCCTCTTCACTCGCCACCTTTAGGATCGTTCTTTCCACAAAATACACCTTACCGAATCTTGCTTTCTGCATCCACTGTTCATACAGTACCAGATAATCTTTTCAGATACAAATGTGTTTGTGGCAGTCTCCTGTTTAATGCTCCTTAACTGTTAAGGAGCTCTTGGAATAAAAATAGGCTTTATGGCCCTCAGGGTCCTACCTTCATCTCCCGTGTCTTAGTGACATTTTCCCTCGGGTTCTGTCCCACAGATCTCTTTCTGAGCAAAAATTACTCCACCCTTAATCCTGGCATTCTACCATGTATTTTCACCTGTTAAATGCGTACTTTTCAGTGCTCAAGAATCATTTAAGGGGAACTATTTATGACCACCCTTACCATATGGAGCAGGTCTCCCTGTTGTATTTGCTAAAAGCATTGGGTACTCTTGGCAGCACCTATCAGTTACAGATAAATATAGATCTTATTGTCTTGATATACTTTTACTTTTCTCTCATTGCTTGGACAAAATACCCGACATTCAAAATGAAGAAAGGAAAGGTTTATTTGCTCAGTGTTTGTGGAGGTTTCAGTCCATAATCAGCTGGCTCCAAGGCAAGATGACATGGCACCAAGGTAACACTTCAAGGCATTTTAACCTTGAAGAAAAGGGGAAAAACAAGCCTCCTCCCCTCCAGTGTAGTGTACACGACCACCACTACCCCCACTCCAGGGCAGCAGCACCCCCAAAATCTCTGTGCCCTCCTCTTGCACAGGATGTGGATATTTACAAAGTAAGGGTCTTTGGGTCCCTGCTGAGTCTCTTAGTTAAACTTCTACACTGCTTATATACTGCTTATACACTGTTGACAATGTATCAACCATAACATGTATATAATTTATATATATCTTTGAGATTGAAGAAACCAAAGCATAATTTAAGTGTTAGTATCAGTACTAGATATAAATCTAGCACACAGTGATAAATGTTAAACTAGAGTATTGAGGCAATCTTTGTTTGAAAACTTTTTAACTTGCATTATGGAAAAAGCTAAAACTCTTTACCAACTGATCTAGCGGAAGATTTATAATAAAAGTAGATTATTAATAGTATTTAGTAGGCATTCCCTTTTGAAAGTTCCAGGATACAATTTTATTAGAAAGACAAACAGGATTTATTCTTGTGTTCTAATATAAAATAATTTAATTATTCTCAAAAGATGTTTGTCTGATTTGTGTTTTACTTTAATGAGGTTTAGATTAAGATTAATGAATTTTTAAAAAGCAGAACAATATAGGACAGTGGTTAAAGACTGTACTGCTAGTTATTAGTAGCAAAACCCCTAATTTTCTTCCAACCTCAAAACTAGCCCTAATATAATAAGGACCAGAAAAACAAAGTAGAGATGATTTTTCTGAGATCAATGTGGTGAAGTGACATAGAAATGTGGCCAACAGTTGCATGAATGAAGCTTAATGGTAGAACACTTATTTCGAATGAGCAAAGGCCTGGGTTATATGCCAGGAGTAGGGAGTAGAGTAGGGGTACTAGTTACTATGGGACCTTCAGAGAAATATTCTTATAGCACACTGCCCTCTGGTGTTAATGACATCATTCATCATGTGTTTGTTTAAGGCTAAGTGAAAATTTTAGAAGTATTGACCAAATTTCAAATCCAGAGCACATGGTGCTGTTAATAGAGCTTATGTATACACAATGTGTATGCACAAATGCACATAAATGCATTGACTGATTCCCAGGTTACAATGTATGTCCACTGTTGTACTTACTTTTTAGATCAGTGGCAGTCAACAGCACTCCATTAAGAAATGGACTAATAACATCTAATATAGTCCTCATTTTTACCACCTTTGGAAGACTGTTCTTTTTTACATTGAAAGTTGCCCTGTTTCTGTCTGTCCATCCTTTCCTTAAAGATACATTTTTTTCCCTACCTTTCCTCTAAAATCATAGTTTGGTTTGTTTTTTGTTTCAGTGAGTCACTCTATTCCTTCCCTTAATCAGCTGGACTCCGTTGATTTTACTTTCTGTATTCTGTGCTCATTCACTCAATTCTTTTCCCTTCTCTTCGCTTCCCTTCCTCCCCATCTCCCTCCTCATCTTTCTCCTCCTCCTCTTCCTTCTCCCTGCTCCACTTTTTTCTTTTGAGATGGTATCAGTGTGTTCCCCTCCTGCCTTAGCCACTCAAGTAGCTGAGACTACAGCATGCACCGCCATGTCCAGCCGTTTCATTCCCAGTAGTAAAACTGAAACATATTTTCCAACCTACTCTGGTTTCTCTTAGATCACCTATGACTTACTCCTTTCTTGAGACTGAGACTTTAAGTACAAGTGTTTTTAAACATTTAACAACTGTCTTCACCTTTAGGTTTGCAATAATTTAATTGAAAAGTTTTTCTGCCTAAGTCCCTTAAATGAGTATATTATCTTTATTATAAAGTTGTATATCTTTTTGTTGTTATTGTCAGTTACACCTTTAAAAATATTTTCCTGAGTCAGTTGTGTTACTATGTGCTTGTAATACCAGGATTTGGGGTCCTAAATTAGGATTTCAAGTTCAGGGTCTGCCTGGACTATATTGCAGATCGTTTCTCATAAAACCAATCAAATAAAAAATGTTTTCCTAAATCTTAAGAAACATAGCTAGGGCTGGGGATTTAGCACAGTGGCATAAGCGCCTACCTGGCAAGTGCAAGGTTGTGAGTTCGATCCCCAGTACCACAAAAAAAAAAAAAAAAAAAAAAAAAAGACCACATAGCTGGCAAATGAATTAAAGTAAAAATAATTATTCATTCAGGATCCTCTTCTTGTCCTCAATTGTAATTCAGAAATTATGTGGAGAATTTGAAGCAACTGACCTAGCTCTAGCCACCTACCTCTAGTCTGACTAGAACTGGTACCAATACTACTATGCAGTGTTGCTCCAAAGCTGTGTGTGCAACTTAGCTTCTTTGCATTTTAATCTCCTGCACATTGGCTAAGAAACACTGCAAAAAAGTCAATGTTCTTTTTGATAATGCTCAGAAGAATGCTCAAGACTAATGTTCAGTGCAGGCAGAAGCCTCAGCAGCCATACTGTGGCCCACACGTCCTGCTTACTGGGACAGTAGGCTGCTGCTGCAGTTAAATACTAGTTGCACTACCATCAAAATGAGTTGATAGTCATGATAAGAACAACTGTGAGCCTTCCAAAGGAAACAAACCTACCTGCAGGCCCAGCTTGCTAAGTGTTAAAATCTACATAGAGGTTGGCACTCATTCCCCCTTAATCTTACCTATTATTATTATTATTTTTTTTTTTTGGTTCATCAGTTGTACTTGTGTAATGCTCCATGTATCTGACCTATGGATCAAACTCTTATCAGTTTAGAAATTTAGTATATAACAGCTTTTCTTTCTCACAAATTGACCAAAAGGCATAGATGCTTTATTATCTTTAATTTAATTGAAGAATGTAATTCTAGACCACGTTTTCTTTATTTATCTGTTGGTGGGCTTATGAAAATAATGGAAATAGAGCTTTTCACATGGGAAGGGCAAAAAGGGTTAGAGGAAGGGGAAGGGAACAAAAGAATTAAGATTTGCAAATTTCCCATGATGAATGTGATCATTATATACTGCTAACGTGTACTAATAAAAAAAAAAAAAGGAGGTTCATCCTTAGGCTTCTTCCTACCAATGCAGATCTATATATCACCACTGCTGAGAATCAGACCTTTCTAGAAAGGCCAGTGTTGAGCCACAGATATGAACCATGTCCAAGGGAAGAAGCCAACTACAAAATAGCAGATTGATTACGATAGACCCCTCCCATCATGGAGTAGGCAGTGAATTGTACTCAAGTTTTACTCCAGATTCAAATTCTGGATATTGATTTGATGTCCTTTCCTGTAGCTCTTCTGCTGCTATCATAATTTATATAATTATACAATGCTTTATTAATCACTATTATATTACTATAAATTATTATCTCATACATTATATAGCAAATAAAAGTAAAGCAATTCACTTATTAACACAAAATTCATTTGTTTTACCATACATCCCTATCACCCAGAAGTAGCAGCCAAAGGGCTTAAAGATTCAGTTACTGTACCAATTGGGAGAACACTCTCCTTGATGTTGGATGCTGCTCCTCAGAGTCTAGTATGTGTAATGGGTTTACTGGCACTAATAGGGACGGCAAAAGCCAATTATGAAATTTTCAGTAATTTCACAATCAGCTATTAAACATAGCTATGGTTAAAAAATAAATCATACAAACATGTAATGTAGCATCCAGATTGGATTTGGAGTAGACAAAAATACATTAG